CTTCACTTCAATACAAACAGTCCAGAAAGAAAGTCATGTCCCTCTAGGGGTGGGGCAAGGGGGAAGAGTGGTCTGTGTTGCTTGGGAGCCCAACCTACAACCCAAAGGTGGGGGCTGGGCCGAGACTGCCGGCGCAGCAGGGGAAGATGGCACCAAGAATGACACAGTGCGTGGCTCAGCTCCCAGAGGGTGAGGCCCGCAAGCTGTCACTGGCGGGTGCTGTCCAGGCCCCCAAGCCCAGAATGATGCAGAGGAAGGAGCTGAACCCCGGGAGCCTGCCTCTGCCCCTCAGGCTGCTGTGCAAGCTGCTCTGCTGCTTGGGTCATATGACCCAGCAGATCCAATGGTGCTTGAGGTGTCAGTGGCAGATAGGGATGTGGTTTGGAGCCTTTGGCAGGCCCTCATAGTTCAATCACAGTGGAGGCCTCTAGGATTTTGGAGGAAGGCCCTGCCATCTTCTGCAGGTAACAACTCTCCTTTTGAGAGACAGCTCTTGGCCTGTTACAGGGCTTTGGTGGAAACTGAACATTTGACTGTGGGTCATCAAGTCACCATGTGACCTCAACTGCCTATCATGAACTGGGTGAAACATGACCCATCTAGCCATAAAGTGGGTCATGCACAGTGGCATCCCATCATCAAATTGAAGTGGTAAACATGTGATCGGGCTTGAACAGGTCTTGAAGGCACAATTAAATTAAATGAAGACGTGGCTCGAATGCCCACTCTCCAATTGTGCTACCCTGCATTCTCTCCCCCTGCCTACACTAACGGCTTCATGAGGATTTCTCTATGATCACTTGACAGAGGAAGAGAAGACTGGGGCTTGGTTCACAGATGGTTCTGCACAATATGCAGGCACCACCCAAAAGACAGCTGCAGCACTACAGCCCCTTTCCAGGACATTCATGAAGGATAGTGATGAAGGGAAATCTTCTCAGTGAGCAGAACTTTGAGCAATGCAGCTGGCTGTGCACTCTGCATGGAAGGAGAAAAGGCCAGATTTGAGATTATATACTGATTCATGGGCTGGAGCCAATGGTTAGCTAGATGATCAGAGACTTGGAAGAGGCATGATTGAAAAATTGGTGACAAAGAAATTTGAGGAAGAGGTATGTGGATGGACCTCTCTGAGAGGTCAAAACCCATGAAGATATTTACATCCCATGTGAGTGCTAACAAGTAGGTGACCTCAGCAGAGGAGGATTTTAATAATCATTTAGACAGAATGACCTGTTCTGTGGACACCACTCAGCCTCTTTTCCCAGCCACACTTGTCATTGTCCAATGGTCCCATTAACAAAGTGGACATGGTGGCAAGGATGGAGGTTAGGCATGGACTCACCAACTTCGACTTCCACTCACCAAGGCTGACCTGGCTATGGCCACTGCTGAATGCCCAATTTGCCATCAGCAGAGAGCAACACTGAGTCCTCGAGATGGTATGGTTCCTCAGTGTGATAGGCCAGCTACCTCATGGCAGGTTGATTATATTGCACCTCTTCCATCATGGAAAGGGCAGAGGTTTGTCCTCATTGGAACAGACACTTACTGCCGATACAGGTTTGCCTATTCTTCATGCAATGCTTCTGCCAAGGCTACCATCCGTGGACTCACGGAATGCTTCATCCATCATCACATTATCACACAGAGCATTGCCTCTGACCCAAGCAACCCCTTTACAGCAAAAGAAGTGAGGCAGTGGGCTCATGCTCACGGAAATCACTTTTCTTTTCTTACCATGTTCCCCATCATCCTGAAGCAGCTGAATTAATAGATCCCACCATGGGATGGCCTTTTGAAGTCACAATTACAATGCCAACTATGTAACAATACTTTGCAGGGCTGGGGAAAAGTGCTCCAGAAGGCTGTGTATGCTCTGCTTCAGCATCCAATGTTTGGTACTGTTTATCCCATAGCTGGAATTTATGGGTCCAGGAATCAAGGGGTGGAAGTGGATGTGGCATCACTCACCATCGCCCCTAGTGATCCACTAGCAAAATTTTTGCTTTCTGTTTCTGTGACATTATGTTCTGCAGGCCTAGAGGTCTTAGTTCCAGAGAAAGAAATGCTTCCATTAAGAGCTACAACAAAGATTCCATTAAACTGGAAGATTGCCACCTGGACACTATGGGCTCCTCCTACCTTTAAGGCAACAGGATACAACGGGAGATACACTGTTGGCTAGGGTGATGACCCGGACAATAAAGATGCAATCAATCTACCACTCCACAATGGATGTAAGGAAGAGCATGCATAGAGTACAGAAGATCCATTAGTGTGTCTCTTAGTATTACCATGCCCTGTGATTATGCTCAATGGGAAACTACAACAGCCCAATCCAGGCAAGACTACAAATGGCCCAGACCCCACAGGAATAAAGGTTTGAGTCACTCCACCAGGCAAAAACCACAACCTGCTGAGGTGCTTGCTGAAGGCAAAGGGAATACAGAATGGGTTGTAGAAGAAGGTAGTCATCAATACCAGCTATGACCATGTGACCAGCTACAGAAACTAGGACTGTAATCCTCATGAGTATTTCCTCTTTCTTTTGCTGAAAACATGGTTGTGCATTTATACACTTGTACTAAGAAAATATCTTCATTGTATTTCCTTTTCCTTTATCATGTGACATAGGATTTATTGGCTTTACATCAGCATTTAAGTATTGTTAATGTAATAGTATTTGAGTTGGGGATTGGTGTGTTTCTGGTTGTATGAGAGATAGTTGTATTATGTTAGCATAATCATGACCTTATTATTATCTTTACTTGAAGATTATGTATTATCTCAGATGTGGATGGGTTCAAATTAACAACAGGTGGACTCTTAATGGTTAATACTGAGTGTTAACTTGATTGGATTGAGGGATACAAAGTATTGATCCCGGGTGTGTCTGTGAGGGTGTTGCCAGAAGAGATTAACATTTGAGTCAGTGGGCTGGGAAAGGCAGATCCACCCTTAATCTGGTGGGCACAATCTCATCAGCTACCAGTAAATATAAAGCAGGCAGAAAAA